GGGACTCGATCCCGGGACTCCAGGATCATGACCCGAGCCGAAGGCAGTCGCCTAACCGGCTGAGCCACCCAGGCACCCCTATTAAATTTCTTTACAAGTGTTTTTCCTCTCATAGAGCATTGAGACAAAGTTTTGTGTTACTCATTTTTAGGACAATGGACTGATTGGCAACCCCAAAACCAGGATGAAATGAAAAGGAATACATTTCTGAGATGCCTAAAGCTTTCAGCGGAGGAAATTCAGGATCAGAAGAAACAGTTTGAAAACTGTGGTTTGCAGGTTATAAAGGTATACTTAATTAAGGGAAAGATTTGACTTGTCTTGCTCTCACTTGGTTCTGTAACCAAAAGAAAAACTCACCTGCTGATGACTCTAAGCCAGCTGCTCGTTGACCTGGACCCCTAGGATTAAGACTGAAAGGCGGGCAGGGGTGGGCAGGCACAAAGGGTGTAGTTGGAATCAGGAGGTAGGAATGATGTCAGGACATCACCGGAAGCACCGATCAGGTGTCAGGGCAAACTTCTCTGCCTATCTTGAAGCAACATGAAAAGAAATGGAATAGCATGTATCACACTGTATTATAATTGTTTACCTATTTTTACCTCTCTCTAAACTGTGAGCTTTTAAGAAGGCAAAGACTGTCTACACTGTTGACCATTTCATTACCAGTGCCTGGCATGTAGGGATTGCTCAGTGAATTTTTATTATATGGATTTATCAAAGAAGGGACAGGGAATTTTGAAGAGACAGAAGTCAAAGTAGGAGAGGGGTGGGGTCAGGAGAGACTCTTAAACACTTTATATGAAAAGCAAGTTGCATGCCAAGTAATATGCACATAAGATCCTTTCTCTTTGAAGTAGAGTATCAAGCAATGTACATAGTGGTTCTCACTTTTTCCCAGTTTTTTTCAGTTTTTCCTATCCTTGGGTCATAGGTGGAGAAAATAGACAACGCGGTTCTCATGGCTGTCTTCCAAAAAAAGAAGAAAATGATGGAAGGGAGAACACATGGGAAGCCTGTGAGCCACAGGCTGTTTCAGCAAATTCCCTACCAGTTCTGTGAAGCGGTATGCAGAGTTGGCTTTCAAAGAATGTACTCGGCGCCCCGCGGTAGGTGTCAGCCCCTCATCTTCAGGGCCTCTGTATGTGGGGATTGGTGAGCAGACCTCAGCAGATGACTCATCACTCATAGTATTTGTTGCTGTGGTGAGGGAGACCCTTGCAACTGGGATATAGTGATCAAGTAATTTGGAAAGGGTCATATTTTTTGTTTTGTCCTTCATATGTTTTGTTGCTGATGCGTTTAATGTTGATGAAAGCTTTAGCGGTAAGATCTACAGTTCACTGTTTTTCTCTTTTCTGTGGTTGTGTGTTTTATCTGCAGAGAGCACCCAGAAGCTTTTTTTTGGCTTAGCTCCACAAAATTATTATCAACACTACCAAACCTCATCCCTTAATTAAAAGGGCATTTTCCTGAACTTAGTAAGTTGCTCTTTTCTCTTCCATCTTCTTCATTTCCTGTAGCCTGCTAGTGAATGAATTAGAGAGCATCTGGAGGTGAAGTAAACAATATCTTAAGATCCTTTTCAGCTATGGGAGTTCTACTATGTGTAGCTTCCATGTCTCTTTTCAGTTGTACAACAATATTGCATACTTAATTGCTGTTTTGTCCCCTTTAGATCTCTCCAAAGGAGACAAAGATGTTTAGTAATAATCATGGAGGATACCTCGCCATGTGGCTTGATTTTGCCTGATCCATTGACTATGTTCTTGATCTTTACCTTTCAAAATATATAGCATGATCCTTGCTGAATGCTCTCAGGCTACTGACAGCCAGGCTTACAGTTTCTTCAGCAACACGGTTCCTTTAAAACCTCAGCAGGCATGAAGCCTGTTTACTTCTGGTCAATTTGTATCTTTAAAACCCAGCCAAAGGTCTTGTCTCCATCTAGTCTTTAAGCCTCAAGATTCGGGTCTTTTACCTACTGGCCTCTGTGCTCTGTCCATGTCCCTAGCTATTAGCTTAAAGCCACTGCCTGAGGCGATTCAGATAATAAACTCATTGGGGAGATACTGTCCATAATGTGACTTGAGCCAACATGTCTGGTGAGCGTGCTTAACCAAAGGTGCTTGAGAACCAGGAGACATTTTATCACCACTGAAGTTGTTTTGCAACTCTTCTTTTTTAACCTAGTTTTCATATGGAGTACAAAGGTTCTTGGCTTTTTTTTTTTACCCCTGCAAATTTCCAAATTATGGGACTCTTGGTCAATTTAGATGGCCAACTATAGGCAAAGGGGGCTTCTATTAATGAAGCTTTATATATTTATATTTTCTATCTTGGCTTGCATTCCAGCCAGTTCTGTATTCATCTCTTGCTTGTAGGACTTGGCTGAATAGAGCAAGAAGGAGCCTCCATGCTTGCAGTTGTTCTTACTGGGTTCATTCATTGATTGCACAAGTGTTTCTTGAGCACATTCTGTAAGTCAGCCCCTGTGCTAGGTGGGAGGAATACAACAGTAAAACACAAAGAGTTCCTGCCCTTATAATTTATAATCTAGTGAGTCCACCTGTTGGGTGTTTTCTGGCGTTCTAAAGGAAGCTTTTTTTTTTTTTAACTCTCCTATGTCCACCTCCAGATGCTCTCTAATTCATTCACTAGCCTATACCTATAGCTTCAACTCCTACCTCTGTGATGGCTTACAGATTTGTAACTCTAACCCCCTTCCTCTCTCCTGACCTGCAGGTCCATATTTCCGACTGTCTTTTGAGTATTTCTGCCTAGATGTTCCATAGCCACCTCAGACTGACTTTTTTCCTTGGCCATACTTTTCCCTAAGAGACAGGTGCTTCCTCCCACCCCCACCCCTGATACTCCCTAACCTGACTAATACCATCACCATCTATATACCAAGTCCCCAACTGGAAAGTTTATCATCTTCCATTCCTTCCTTCCTCTTACTCTAGGTTCAGGCAGTCACACAGCCCTATTAGTTCCCTCTTGACGACATTCTCAGCCCAGCCTCACCTCTCTCTTCCTGTTGCCTTTGTTCTTCTTCCCCTGGGCCTAGATGATGACCAGGTCCTTTCCTTCCCTCAAAACCACAGCCCTATCCAACCTATCCTTTTCTCTGCTTCCAGAATTGTCATGCTAAAAACATACATGCTTGTTTAATAATATCTGCCTTCCTAGTTGCCTACAAGGTAAAACTCCCACCTCATTGGCAGAGCATGTAAGGACCTAGCCGCCACCCCCCCACCCCACCCCTGTTATTTCCTCAGCCTCATCACTCACTGTGTTCATCCACACTTCAGCCAGGAACTGCTTAGAGTTTCCTAATGTGCTGGATATTTCATGCCTCTATGCCTTTGCCTGTGGAAATGCCTTCCCTCCTCACCCCTTTTTTAGCCCTGCAAAGTCCTACTCCTTCTTCCAGACGTATCTCAAATGGCGTCTCCGGGTGGACACCTTCCCTCACTCCTGCAGGCCCAGGGAGTCGCTTCCTGCTCTTGCTTCCGGACTTCCTACATTCCTTTGTTACCACATCTGTAACTCCAACAGGTACAAAAATCTACAGTTCCACAAAACTCAGGTGTGGGGCTTGTCTTCTTTATAGCTCTAAAATGGAACTTTACCTACCTTTCATGCTCCCATGTCTACAGAGATGGAAAACTCCCATCTTGACAGCTCAAGATGAACTCAGTCATTTTCAGAGTTTTCTTAGTCCCTTTGGGGTTTAAAGTCAGTTCCTGCAAGTTTTTTTCTCCTTCTTCTCTTCTGAGAGTGCTTTAGATGATGGGACAGGCACTGTGGGAAGAGCGGTCTGGTTCTGCATCTGTCTGTTCTCTGTCTCCAGATGTCCTCTGCTGGAAAAACCACCCTGGGCTTTGGTCATTAGCACCCTCCTGTGCTTAAATTTATGGTGCTCTTTGTTCTTAGTGTCTACACAGGGCACTCTGTTTTTCATGCCGAGGGAATTCCTTTCTGGGCCATTGTCTGTGCCCCTCCTGTAGCGCAGGAAATTTTTGCGTGTGCACATCCTCCAGGCTGAAATGCAAGGTCTTGTGTGGCATTCTTCACCTGTTCTGGACATCTTCCCCAGCCGTTACTGCTTTCCACTTAGCGGCCATGCTGGATGAGGGGGCTGCACCCAGTAGAGTCACACGATGGTTCCTTTTACTCTGGAAGTCCCCTACTCCCTGTTTTTCTGAGGTTCTTGTTGTTCTGCCCTATCTTGACTCCCAGGGCTCTCTTGAGGGAGTGGGGCAGTGAACTGAGTCCCTTCTCAGAGTCCCCAAGAGTTCTAGTCAAGTCCTCTCTGTTTCTTCTCTTTCCACCAGGTGGAAGGAAGAACTTTTATTTATTTTGAAGTGACATAACTATTCTAAGAATATCTTTTATCCTTCTCTCCTCTGTTACATATGGCATAAACTCCATGCTCTGAATCCTTTAGGTTTTTAGACTTCTGGTTCAAAAAACCCTTTTCCTCTCTCAGAAAACCTTTCAAGACCATAATCTGTGCTTTGATTAAAAATAATTATATATGCTATATGGGGTGTCTGGGTGGCTCAGTCGGTTGGGCCTCTGACTCTCGGTTTTGGCTCATGTCACAAGCTCAGGATCCTGGGATCAAGCCCCCGCATCATCTCGGGCTCCGTGCTCAGCAGGGATTCTCCTTCTCTGCCCTCTCTCCCTCCTCCTCTGCTCCTCCCGCTTCTCACATTCTCTAAAATAAATTTTTTTTAAAATTATATATGATATATATACATATATATATATCCAATTTATATATATTCAATTGACTTTGTTCTGAGCTTTATCTTTTTTACCCCTGACATAATAAGTAGCAAGAACTCAATGGGTGGAAGAACCAAGAGCAAGAAGAAATTTCCAGGAAAGAAATCTTTGATTTTTATCTCAAAATATTTTTTTCTCCACATAAAATTGTGCTGTACTTTAACTGTTTACAAGTGGGGAGTTCCATTTATAAAATTTTGAGAACAGAGGTCATGTCTTAGTCATTTTTTGAAGCCTTAGAGCTGTATTGTCCAGTTGGTAGCTACTAGCCACGTGTGGCTACTGAGCACTTAAAATGTGGTTAATCTGAATTGAGATGTGCTGTAAGTGTAAAATATACACTGATTTTAAAGATCACTACCCAAGGAAAGAATGTAAAATATCTCCTTAATAATTTTTATATTGATTACAAGTTGAAATGATAACATATTGGATATCATAGATTAAATAAAAATTAGTAAATTAATTTTACCTGTTCCTTTTTACCTTTTTATCTGGCTACTAGAAAATTTAAAATTACATATATGGCTTACATTGAACTTCTGTTGTTCAGTGCTGCTCTCGAGTCTGCAACAATATTCCATTAAATCCGAAGTAAATGTAAAGAAAAAAATAGGGAGGGAGGAAGGAAAATTAAAAGGAAGGTAGGTGTATAAATGTAAGCTATTATTAGGCTGATGATACCAATGATAATTTGTTTCAAGAGAACAACTGTAGGTGTCTTTGCTACAGACAGGGACTTGGAACCAGGAGGTGGTGATTATTTGGAGGACTAGAGAGAGACTACATAGTAGTACCCACATAGGCAATATGATTCATCAGATCCTAATAATCTTTTAACTTTTTTTCTTTTATCAGACCCAAAATACGGAGTTGGTATATACTTCACCAAGAACCTGAAAAACCTAGCATACCAGGTCAAGAAAACATCAGCCATAGATGAACTGATATATGTGTTTGACGCTGAAGTACTCACAGGCTCCTTCTGTCAGGGTCATCAGTTACATATCGTTCCCCCACCATTGAGTCCTGGAGACACAGATTGCCATGACAGTGTGGTTGACAATGTCTCCAGCCCTGAAACCTTTGTTATTTTTAGTAACACTCAGGCAATGCCCCAGTATTTGTGGACTTGCACCCAGAATCATGTACAGCCACAGAATTACTCATCAGGACCAAGGATGCTGTCTTCACAGAATCCTTGGAGCAAGATTCTCAAGGGGTAGCACTGTTGATTTACCTCCACATTATTTTAACAACCAGCATGTGCTTGCTTTGGAGGAAGTCTCCAAATAATGACCATCAGTGAGTCAAAGAGTGGTTTGAATATGTCAGATGGGTTGTCCATATGAACCGATTGGGTTATTGAGGGGACCCACCACAAACTAGCATCTTAGTTCTTTCATCTTTGTCTTCACTTCTTGGGATCAGGACCGTTCCCTCTCCTTCAAGTTGTCCTTTTGTCTGTTTTACTACAGGTAACAGCAGAAATGTTTTATATGTGATGGGGTGTTTCTAGTATATAATCCAAGCCTTTTTATTTTTCTAAAATGATAGTGTAACAGCAGGATGATTTTATATTTTCCAGAGAATCTTGTATAGTGTTTTAGATATCAAAATAAACCACCTTTGTCTGAATAACTGGCTTTGAAAAGTTGTATGTAAAATGACATTATTCCAAGTGGAAGAACATCAAAAGGCTGATATTCTACTGATATCCTATTTGGATTCAACCATATCAAGCAATGCCACTCAAGCATCATGAGGCCAAATTATTTATTTTTTAAGATATATTTATTGTAGGGAGAGAGAGAAAGAGGGAGTGTGCATGATTTGGGGGGGGGTGAGGGGATGGGGAAAGGGAAACAATCTCAAGCAGACTCCTTGCTGAGTACGGAGCCTGGCGTGGGGCTCAGTCCCAGGACCTGGAGATCAAGACCTGAGCTGAAATCAAGTCGGATGCTCAGCCGACTGAGCCACCCAGGTGCCCCAAGGCCAAATTATTAATTTGCCAAATATTTCTTGATCACAAGATGTGTTTCAGTCATTTTCTGGGTGCTGGGGATATGATGCAGGACAAAACAAAAGTCTTCAGAAAGCTTCCAGCCTGAATAATCAGAAAGTCAGCTATGTGATTGACTATAACAAAAGAGGAATTATAGATTCATAATTCCTAATTTTAAGATTCTTAAAATTTAAGAGGGAGGGTGATAAATTAATAAGGGGATGGAAGGAAGGCCTTCTAGAGAAAGTGAAACTCAAGCTGAGACCTGAAATATGTATGAGTTAGATGAATGAGGGATGCAGCAAATCAGGAGTAGTGTTGGAAGAGTATCTTATGAAGAGAGAATAGTTCTTATAAAGGCTGAATCCACTGTGACTTTGCCCAAATTTTACTTCAGAGTTCTACAATATAGAGGCCAGCTAGTCTCACCATGTATCTCTTGCCTGTTCTGAACTCCATATTTCTCTGTACTCCCCAAATTTCCTGACCCTCATATCTCTGCACAGAATACTTCTTCTGCCTCATCTTACTGTAACCAGCATTCTTCCTTTTTTTTTTTTTTAATTCCCTTCACCTATTTCACCCCCCGCCCCAACCTCCCCTCTGGTAACCATGTTTATTCTCTATAGTTAAGAGTCTGTTTCTTGGTTTCTCTCTGTTTTTTTCTGTTTTGTTTCCTAAATTCCACATATGAGTGAAATGATATGGTATTTGTCTTTCTCTGACTGACTTTGCTTAGCATTATACTCTCTAGCTCCATTCATGTTGTTGCAAATGGCAAGATTTCCTTATTTTGGGGGGCTGAATAATATTCCATTATATATATATATTTCATTATCCATTCATCTGTCGATGGACATTTGGGCTGCTTCCATAATTTGACTCTTGTAAATAATGCTGCAATGAACATAGGGGTGCATATATCTTTTCAAATTAGTGTTTTTGTATTCCTTGGCAATAGTGGAATTACTGGATCATTTGACAATTCTATTTTTAGAAAAAAAATCTTTTTTTCTTTTTTTCTCCATACTGTTATCCCCAGTGACTGTACCAATTTGCATTACATGAGGGTACCTTTTCTCCACATCCTTGCCAACACTTGCTGTTTCTTGTGTTTAAAAAATTTTTTTTAAGTTTTTATTTAAATTCAGGTATACAAATTGTTTCCTGTTTTTTTGATTTTAGCCATTCTGACAGGTGCGAATGATATCTCATTGTGGTCTTGATTTGCATTTCCCTGATAAATGATGTTGAGCATCTTTTCATGTATCTGTTGGTCATCTGTATGTCTTATTTGGAGAAATGTCTGTTCATGACTTCTGCCCATTTATAAACTGGATTATTTGCTTTTTGGGTATTGAGTTGTATATATATATACAACTTTATATATTTTGGATATTGAGTCATTAACAGATATGTCATTTGCAAATATCTTCTCCCATTCTGTAGGTTTTCTTTTAATTTTGTCGATTGTTACCTTTGCTGTGCAGAAGCTTTTTATTTTGTTTCTCTCCCAAACCACGTCTCTGCACTTCCTACTTCCTTGATGTGGCCTCTTCTCTCCCTCCAGTTGTGCAGTTTGTTCTGTCAGTACTCAGGTCATTTTTATGGGTATTCAGAATGATTTGATAGTTATCTGGTTGTGCTCTAGGAATGAGAGGAGCATAGGGTCCTCCTACTATGCCACCATCTTAGCTCCTCAGAAGCTTCTTATTTTGATGTAGTCCCAATAGGTTGTTTTTGCCTTCGTTTCCCTTGCCTGAGGAAACATATCTAGAAAAATGTCAGAGAAATTACTGCCTGTGCTCTCTTCTAGGATTTTTATGGTTTCAGGTCTCACATTTAGACCCTTAATCCATTTTGAGTTTATTTTTGTGTATACTATAAGAAAGTGATCCAGTTTTATTCATTTGCCTGTTGCTGTCCAGTATTTTCCATTACCATTTGTTGAAGAGACTTTTCCCAATTGTATATTCTTGTCTCCTTTGTTGAAGATTAATTGACCATATAATTGTGGGTTTATTTCTGGGCTCTCCATTCTGTTCCATTGATCTATGTGTTTATTCTTGTGCCAGTACCATACTGTTTTGATTACTACAGCTTGTAGTATATCTTGAAATCTAGGATTGTGATACCTCCAGTTTTGTTCTTTTTTTTCAAGATTGCTTTGGCTTCTCAGGGTTTTTTGTTGTTCTATACAAATTTTAGGAGTATTTGTTCTGGTTCTGTGAAAAATGCTATTAGTATTTTGATAGGAATTGCATTAAATGTGTAGGTTGCTTTGTATAGTATGGACATTTTAACAATACTTGTTCTTCCAATCCATGAGCATGGAATATCTTTCCATTTGTTTGTGTCATCTTCAGTTTCTTTCTTCAGGGTTTTATAGTTTTCAGAGTACAGGTCTTTCACCTCCTAAGTTTAAATAATAATTGTTTTTTTTCATGAAAAAAATCACAAAATGTTATTCAAAGGCTTTAAGAAGACCTAAATAAATGGAGAGATATACTATGTTGTCATCAAAAAGAAGACTCAATATAATAAAGATCTCTATTCTCCAAAAATAAATCTTATCAATACAATTTCAATCAAAACCACAACAGATTTTCTTCATAGAAATTGATGGAGTAATTATAAAATTTATATTAAATAAAAAGGCCCAAGAAGAGCCAAGGTAATTTTAAAGAAGAAAAACAAAGTAGAGGTGACTTGACTATAACATATCATGACTTATTATACAACTACAGTAATTATGATGTGTTACTGGTGCAGGAATAGGCAAACAGACCAACTGAATAGAATAGAAAGTTCCAAAACAGACCTATGCCAATGTAGAAACTTGACAATATATATACATACATATATATCTCAAATATATATCTCTATATATGAGTCTAATACAAATAAAATACATATAAATTTATAAATATGAATATTTGAGAAATATATCTTTCAGGTTTATATATTATAAAAATTATATACTATAAATATATACTATTATATACTGTAAAAATCATATATCCTGCAATATTTATGATGTACCTTTTCACATTGCACGTTTAATGGTGTCAATTTTTTTTCCTTTTTTAAGATTTATTTGAGAGAGAGAGAGAGAGCAGGAGCAAAGGTGCAGAGGGAGAGGGAGAAGCAGGCCTCCCACCGAGTAGGGAGCCTGACGCAGGGCTCGATCCCAGGACCCCAGGACCATGACCCGAGCCAAAAGCAGATGCCCAACCGACTGAGCCACCCAGGCGGCCCAATGGTGTCAATATTTTGATGGCACATTTGTAAAATTTTGCAGCAGATATTTGCAATTAGAAGCTTTGTACCATTTAAAAGTCAGAACTCAGCCTGGGTGACTCAGTCAGTTAAGCATTTGCCTTCGGCTCAGGTCATGATCCCAGGGTCCTGGCATCGAGTCCCTCATCAGGCTCTTGCTCAGCGGGGAGTCTGCTTTTCCCTCTACCGGCCGCTCCCCCTGATTGTGTGCTCTCTGTCTCTCTCTCTCTCTCTCTGACAAATAAATAAATAAAATCCTTAAAAGTCAGAATTCACATGATACAGAATACAGTTGATTTCTTATTCAAGTTTCCATATCAAGTCAAAACTGGTTATTTGATGCTGGCATTTTTGCTCACTAGATCTTACTTTCTGAGTATCATGTGACTATCTACATACATACTTTTCTCAGTATAGAGCTCTGAGTGTATGTATATATATGTATGACAGAGGTTAAACTGTGGCTCACTGGGAAAACAATGGACCAGTCTCAATGAATGGTCTTAGACAACTGGTTAAGGACATGGAAAACAACAAATTTGGATGTTGTTCTAGCTCTAGACAGGGCCTAAGATGGGGATTCTTGTTCAAGTGACTTATTGGGGGACTGCTTTCGGGAATATGGGAATAAAGGCAGCATAGGGCAGGGAGAAAGCTAGCAGGAATACGGTCTCAGCTGAAGATTAGCTTCAATATAACTCCAAGAGAAAGCTCTAGGGCACAAATTGTACCATTAGACTAAGTAGAACACTGTAACAGCAGTTGGCCTTTTGAAGTGATGTCAGTTATTGCCTCCCTCTTCCTTGAGAGTAGGAGTAGGAGGCTTCTAGCAAGCTGGCTCCTGTTAGGCCTATACTTCCTCAGAGAAGGGGGCAGTTGAAAGTTATCTGCCAGCACTCACATCAGGCTGGGGAATGGGTATACTGGCTAGATGAAGTGGATTCTTTTTATTTCCCCTGCCAGTACAGGTAGGGAAGAGTGCCAACTGCCCTGATTTGCCTGACCTTCCAGGTTTTGGTGCCAAAATTCCCACATCCTGGGAAACCCTTGCAGGACACACAAAAAATCCTGGTCTGCAATGGGTGTGGAAGATTGGGGGGAAAGTACAAAACCCATTCATATGACAGCCAAAAAAAATGGGGGCTGAAAGCAACCACACTGCTTTTACTGTCAGATGGAGCATAGATTCTTTGACATCTATAGTTACTATCAGTGGTTTTTCCCCTGGCCATTGATACTGGTACCCATGATTCACAGTTCACAATAATCATCCACTGTTGCATCATTCTGAGGGATATGACTTAAGTGTGCAGTTTAAGTGCGTTGTAATCAGAAGCATTAGCAGTCCATCTTT